AAAAAAAAAAAAAAAAAAAAAAAAAAAGAAAAAAAAGACTGATTTTCACAGAGCAACTGACATTGTCAGCATCTGACATTGTGTTAATCATCTGCTCCAGCTCAGGGTGGGACAGGCAAGGGAAACATCTGGACAAAGCAAGACCAGAGGTTTAGCAGCAAGGAGAAAGTCACAGCACTAGGGTAATAGCAATAACAAGGGTAAGAAGATACTGTCAAAAGAAAAGGACAGCCCTCAAGGTCACCCAGGATGGCAGCTCTGCTGAGTTGCACCTCATACCCAGCTGCCCACAGAAGGAAGCAGGGCAGATATGAGGCTGACACACAGGGCCAGGGCTCAGAGCCAGGGGCAGATGTGCAAGAAAGGGGAAGCCACTATTTCATGAGGAGGAGCTGCTCAGACGCCAGAAGAGTCATACCCCGCCCCACTCCTCCAGATGCTGCTGCGCCAGCAACCCCAAATAAAAACAGCCCCCCCCCCAGAAAAAAAACAGCCCCATGACCAAGAGATGAAGTCTGTGAGTCCTAATGACTGGTTTCTGAGGCAGCCACGCCCTTTCTGGCAGCCCCAGAGGCCTGCACTCCAGGCCAGGAGTTGGAGCAGGAGTCAGAGCCAGAGACCCAAGTATCTAAAAGGCAGAGTCATACCTGGGCACCAATGAATGAAAGGCTGTGGGTTCCTGCATCATGTGCCCACCACAGTTACTTGCAGGTCCCCTGGAAGCTAAGGGATGGGAAGAATCCGGTATAGGCCCCCGCCCTTAGGCTAATGAGCTGCGTTTTCCCCCTCAGGTGCTTCCCAGGGCTCCAAAACCACTCTTCATAGAAGTCTCAGAATGTTATGACCAGCTAGGCAGAAGCACTAGTCCCAAACCTATGTCCTCCAAAGCCACAGGCCTCCCTGTGCTTCCCTTCTCCCCGCTCCAAAAAACAAACAAACAAAAAAAAAACCCTAATGTCATAGTCTGGACAGGGGCTGACAGTGCCCCTTGGGGAACAACAGTTTTGCTCTTTGTGATGAAAAAAGACAACTGGTCCCAACCCAAAGGGAAGCCACAGCTTTAGCTTTTCCAAGGCATCCGTCTCTAGCCACTGATCCAATAGGCCTCTATATTCCAGGCTTTACAAGCTGGGACCACTTTACTCTATATTAGGTTGAGGGAGAAGGCAGATGTCAGGCTCCACATAGCAGGGCTGTTCCCTTTCTCCCCCAAACACACGCAGACCAGCCCTCCCAGAAGGTCAGGAGCAGGGCTCCCCTACCCAAATGGCCTCATAACAGATTCCCTAGCTTCCCACTGCAAAACTTTTGCTGCTTCTGCCTTCCTACCCCTGTGTGGGTCACAGGGACATTTACCCAGGGCCACAATCTACATCAATACCATAATGGCCAAAAGGGTCCAAATGACCCACCTGACCCCAAAGGGAACAGACAGAATCACATGTGTCTTGGGAGCTGGATACAGTGCCCACTGGAGAATGTCAGGAGGGATACTGTTGGCAAAAATCAGAAAGAAATTACCTAAGAGGCAACTCAGGATTTTCAAACCCATCAGAACCATGAAGACCCACGTATGGTTCCATCAAGGGGAAGAGGGTCTCAAGTGTCCCTATGTAATACATTAAATTCTGTTTTGGAATTTCCCCTTATTATTTGGAAGCCTCCAGTGAAATCTCTCACCTCAAAGAGTGCACCCTGCCAAGGATCTTCAGGGCCTACTGGGACACCCAGAGCCTTCACCACCAGCAGCACATGAAGCAAGGCCCCAGAAAAACTCAACATTACCACTTTGAAAGCTTCTATGTGTCTGGAACTATACTAAAGCTTTTATAGATAGTATTTTATTCAATCTGTATAACTCAAGATAAGAATGTACCATGACCTTTTCAGAAATGAGGAAAGAAGTTAAGTAATTTACCTGCTAGTAAGTCACAAAACAGAGAATAAAACCCTGTCCCCAGATTTCCCAGGACTGTGCTGTCCTGCCTTCCCCCAGGGCAGGGGTAGACCCAGGCAAGGCTGCCAGGGAGGAGAGCTGTAAAGCCACAGCCAGATCTGAGCCTGGCTTTGGGACCACAAATGTTTCCCAAGCCATCCCTGGCTCTCCAGTCCCTAGCAGCAGAGAGAATGGCACAGGCTGTAAAGAGTGAGCTCCTTTAATTGGGAATTCCCAAACTCCTGCCATGTTCTGTATCCCAAGGCTTTTCCAGGATCCATGTTTTTTACTATCTTCCCTGTAACAATCAGAAGCTTTTCCATGGCAGGGGATGTTTTCTGGACCAGCACTGCTACACAGTCACCAAAACCTCCTTCCATTATCCCTGCTGTTCACTTACCCTCTACCATGTCTGGAGCCTGCAATGAATACTTCATGTGCATTCTCATTTCATCCCTAACATCAACCCTAGAAAGCTGTGAATTATACCCATTTTACAGATGAAAAACTGAGGCTCCAAGAGTTTCCTGAGCTTGCCACAAGGTGGCAGGTTTAGGATTGGAGTCTGTTCTCACACAACCCCTCTCTTTCTTTTTTTTAATCTTTTTTTTTTCTACACAACCCCTCTCTTAACCAGGAACCTGCCTTTTTCAGTCAGGCTCTCTCTGTATACAGGACCTCTAGGTGACACAGGCCACCCCATGTCCTTGCTGAAGCCACCAAAGCTGGTTCCTGGAGTTAAATATGAACACTATTCTTTTCCATCAATATCCAAAGCTGAGGAAAGTACAATCTGGTCTTTCCACTTAGCTCTGTCCTGACTAGACAACAGTCTCAGTAGCCTATGCCAGGGTGCCTCAGGAAATACCACGAGGAGTGGCCAATAGAGCTAGAGGTGGGGGACCAGAATAGGGGTGACATGCTGTTAGTCCAGTGAGCTAGAGTAGCAGTCCAATTTCAGGGCTTGTCCTCTGCCCACCCTACTGCTGCCCCTTCCAGGCTCTATAAATAACCCAGGTCAATGCATCAGAGGAAAGGCAGCCAGGTGGGTGTGGAGCAATCCCAGTGGAAAAGATGACTTCTATAAAGTAAATTAAGTCTCCCATTCAGATCAAGGGGTTACACAATAATTCTCCCAGATGCACTGTTCTTGGCTGCAAATGGACCCACCTGTATCTGCTGGCTAGGCCAACTCAGCAAAAGAAGAGCCAGAGGCCAAGAACTCAGGAGGGGAAAAAAAAAATCAAAGAAGCTCCTCCCTACAAGGTAGAGGTTTTTTTCTTTTCTTTTGTTTTGTTTTTTTCCCTGTTCCATTCTGTCCTCTTCTCTCCCAGCAACACACACCAGATGTCATCTACTAGCACTGGTCAGAGGAGCTCTTAGTGGTGAAGGGTGACTGGGGGACGGGGCAGCATGATGTGGGGACCTCTTCTGTAAAGAAAGGACTAAGAGATCCAGGGGAGAGTATTCCACTCCACAACTACCCTGTTGGGCTCCCACAGCCAGGAAGAAGGGAGAGGAAAGAAAAGGAGAGGAAAAAAAAACAAAATAAGGGCCAAACTATACCACATGACCCCACACCCAGCAACCAAACAGCAAGTCATGAGGGAAGGAGAGGAGAAGGCTAGGGAGGGGGTAGATGGAGCCAGGTCACAGCCCTGCCTGGTACCTGCCCTCACACTAACCCACTTTCCACCCCAGGCCACAGCCAGCCAGCCAGCCAGCCAGCCAGCCAACCAGCCAGGAAGGCCCTTCCTTAGAAAAAACGTTCAAGGTCAGACTGTTTTCTACATAGATCCTGCTTCTATTTGCATCTGTGCCAGGTTCAAGGCTCGTCCCTCTCCTATAGCAAGCCTTTCTAGATTTACTCAGTACGTACTATTCCCCCAACCAGGCCTTGGGGCACCTCTCCCCACTGAGGCCACATCCCTGTTCCCACCCTCTTCCCTTCCCCACCGGGTCCCTCCCAAGTTAACCACTGGAGTGACCCACAGCAGGTGGTCAGGCCTGATGAGTGGCTTCCAGATCCCACACCCAAGATCCCAAAACAGGAAACAGTGCTTCAAGTCTGAAGCCTTGATCTTCACACAGGGAAGATTAAATGCTGCCAAAATAAATTATTTTAATAAAAACCTGCTTGGCTCTTCTCCGGGGAAGTGACTGGAAGATGATCTATTGCTGTGAACTAACCTGCCTCCACCTGGGGAGGGCAGGCAGGTCACTTGAAGCCTAACCAAAGTCTTTCCTTCCAGGAAGGTCTTCCTGTCCTCAGACTGAAGACCCTGGACACCAGATCAGGGTGGAGGGGATAGAGGGATAACATCTCTAGAAGGTAGAGGGCATCACAGAATAGGCAAGAGGCAGTTTTCTGGCACATCCTCCAGGTTGGGGTGTCCCCAGTTTCATTCTGACGGTAGAGGGTAAGGCAACACCTTCCTTACCCACAGTGCAAGGAAGCCACTCCACTCCACTCCACCAGGGTTGGGAACAGAGCAGTGCCTCAGTTCCCCTCACCTTCGGGAGCCTGAAGGCCTCAAGATTTCCCCAAAGCCTCAGAACCTCTCACTAACTTTCCTTGACAGTCTACTCCTAATATTTCGTTATCATTCAAATTCCCCAGGGATCCACCAGAGCCCAAGACCACCACAGTGCCTGTCTGGGGAGACCAGAAGAGGACCCGATAACGCTAAGAACCAACTTGTGTGTGTCGGTTTGCGGCCTTGAGCGCGAGACCAGGGGTTCAGGGTAAAGACTGAGGTTCGGGATCCTGCGCCCCACCAGCCCTTTCCCGGGGAAACCTTCAGCTGCTTCCATGACCCCGGGCCCCCTACTCACTGCGTGTGCTGGGCGCGGCCAGCGCCGAAGACCTCGTCCAGCGCCACGGTGGCCTGGCCCAGAAACTTGTCGACGCCGATAAGCGAGCGATGCATGGTGGTGAGCACCAGCTGACAGGCGGCGGCCGAGCCCGCGGCCCAGGGCAC